CCTCCTCCATAAGCACCAGCAGTGCTGACATCCTCCAAGCCAAACATACCGACCTCAGTGGTGTAGTTATCTGCAGGTTACCAAAAGTTGAGGCAGAGTAGAGGACTTTTGTGGAGTGGTAAGTGAAACACCTACAAATCAATGCCATAAACAACTGAACTTGTGTGGATTCAAGAGGAAAAGCATTCAAACTATCCCTTGACTATAATGAGAATTATGTACATTTGCATTTGGTCCTTTAGCAGATGCATTTATCTAAAGTGACTAACAAATGAGGAACATCACACGCAATTGGGAACATTTCCCAATTGCTTGTCACATGACACACCGCAGCCACGAAAACACTGTATGACAGATGGATCGCTTTTATTTAGTTTTTCCTTGTTTATTCAAAATATTCACACACTTGCTTCCCATGTCATCAACTACCTGATATTCCGATTCACAAATACATGTAAGTGAGTGTGTTGTGTCGTTTAAAAACCGTCATAAATGAGCTTGATCGTGATCTATAATGTGAGACGGGCGCCGCCATGTTTGTTCACGCTGCAGAGTCCTGTCAGTCTAATTACAGCATGTGAATTCATCAATTTCTCCCAAAACACATGCAAGTGACTGGTGAACTGGGAGAAGAATTGAGTAAACTTTATAGTTACTTACCCTATGTGTATCTGATATAAATTAAATACATCGGCAAATTATATTTGAATGGATTTTTATTGCTGCTTCCATAGACATCCGTGTGTATTTTACAAACTCTAAATGTATTGTTTTACTAGTACTTATGTGTATTTAAATGTCTGAAACCTAAATTAAACATTATGTGGTTAAAAACACTGCAATTATATGACAAGTGCAGAGCGAGTCTCAGCGCCAGCCAAAGCCGAACATGATGTCACTTTGTAGGCAAAAACCCGGAAGCGAGTTAGCATTTTAGCACTTTCGGTTCCATCTTCCCAGAGTCAATGGGTTTTTTGAATGGGAGTTTGGTTAAATCCCCTAAAATAAGGTCCGTGGTTCACACAAGCTCAAGATACTTTCACGTTTTATTCTACGACATAAAACACACCAGTTACACCCCACTCCCGATTTTTTAAAAAGGTTACGTTTCTTAAAAAAGACGGTTGCTAACAAGTTGCTAAATGGGACTACAGACGCTGTCGGAGACATTAAACGCCATCACGCCAAACAGTTCATTTACAGCATATTCCAATTGTAGTATAATTTATAGTACAATTAAGTAGAATAACCAATTAATAGTTTACCGCATTTTACATTGTTGTTTGACAATGTTTTTTTTGCTTTGCCCCAAAATTCAACACAAGTCTTTGGATGGAAGATGCTCGTTTTATCGCTTACTGATAAGGAGACGCTGGGTTCGTACCATGAGTAAACTCATATGATTATTCCATGTAAACACCACATTTACTGGCTTAGTCACGTTGAAAGTGAAACTTTAACAATTCATAGTGCTTAAAGCCACGTTAAAATTAAATGTTTACGGCCACAAGCAGGCAGCTGTTAGAAAACATATAGATTGTGTATTTTCTAGAAGCAAGGATAAAATAACATTTTGTGTACCCATCCTAACAAAACGATAGATGTCGAAGGCGAGCGACCGTGGAAGTGTAGGCCTAGTTCGTTTATAGCCTAAGTTTAGCTTTTAAGTTCTGGCGCTTTTATTTTGGCTTCAAAATTCATAAAAGTTATATTATTTTGTGAAGATTATCTTGATGGACAAAACGTGTAAGTTTCATGAACTATGATGTGATGCTAACAGCCGATCTGCCTACAAAGTGACGTCATAGTTCCCCCACCCTCTTCCCAGGGGCACAGAAATAAAAAACCGTACCGCTCAAAGGGTTAAGTGAATTCACAATTTTTTTTGTCTTACAGTGCATAGAAGGGTGAACACTGGGTTCTGTGCATTCGGAATAATGTGTTCAGAACCTTTTGTATTTGTGTGTGTATACAGTCTCTTTTTGTCTAGGTCTCTTCTATTTCACTTCCATCCAAGTTGAGTATCTGACAAATAAACATTGTATTTTATACTTATTCTAATATTTAACTTAAAGGTATTGTTCACCCAAAAATGAAAATTTGCTTACCCTCAGGTCATCTAAGATGTAGGTGAGTTTGTTTCTTCACAGTTTTGAAGAAATTAAGCATCACATCACCAATAGATCCTCTGCAGTGAATGGGTGCCATCAGAATGAGAGTCCAAACCGGTGGATTATTGTGATGTTTTTATCAGCTGTTTGGACTCACATTCTGACGGCACCCATTCACTGCAGAGGATCCAATGTTGAGCAAGTGATGTAATACTAAATTTCTCCAAATCTGTTCTGATTAAGAAACAAACTCATCTAAATCTTGCATGGTCTCAGGGTGAGTAAATGTTCAGCAAATTATCATTATCATTCCTTTAAAGCACGCAACAAAACTTTGTATATGTATAAAAAAGAAATTCGTATAAAAAAGGAGTTTGGGCAGAAATGGGTTTTTCATTTTCTTTCTCTCTTTTGTGAGAAGGATGCCTGCTTCCTGTGAGGAAATATGTGAAGGCCAAGTGAAACTGATGAACAGGAAGACCAAAAACCTCAGCCTATAATTATGTGCTGCTTCCAAAAGCGTCATTCATGTGATATGCCTATGGTCCCCACTTCTTGTAATTAACATGAATTAGTGAATGAGGTGAACGGAGAGGGAGAGAGAGTCTATGATGATGTAAGTGGGTGGGGAGAGAACACATCTGTTACTGTTTGGCATAACACAAGCACCATGATTATGATTATCTGTTTTGGTGAATTCAAGTAGGTTTTGTACCATCTTGTTATTGTCTATATTCCCTTCATACCCAGATGTTTCTCAATGATGGTCAAACAGATGATTGATAGAAGGCGAGCATCAACAATATTTTGCACATCTCAACTTTGCATCAGTGCATTGCTGTTCATATTGTTCATTTCATTTCAGTTTCTTTTGTGTGTCATCTCTCAGCACATCTGTACCCAGAAATGTGCTTTGTGCATGAATCTTTCACTTTCACGCTCTCATAAAGTCTCTCATTACTCTGTCACTGAAAGACCACAGGGTGTTCCACAGATATGCTTTTGTGCTTTCGAAGACAACGATAATGGAACTACAGATCCAGAAAGGAATATGACGAGTCACAATGTCCCAAGTCTAAATGAGACGCTCACTCATAAAAGCTCAAATGCTCCCTATTTCTGCAGTCGGTTCATTCACCACAGACCATATTTACATTGTCTTTGCTTGCTGTTCTCTGACCTGTAATATGATTTCATAAAAGGATGTCAGATAGGACTCAGACAGAATGATTACACTCTATTCAGAGACTGACTGACAAGAACTATTTTCTTAGAAGTGCATTATTTGAATACAAAAGCTAAATGGCTTTATTGCACATGAAATTATTTATGCAATGGATATTGGGACATGCAAAGGACATGCATAATTAAAAGCAACAATGCACAGAGTTTCGCCAAAAAAAAAAAAAGCCCATGGTTCTCTATAGGAGCAGCTGTGTATTTTACATGCAGTTGCTCATTAGTCCTGGCGTGGCTTTCATGTCGCATTAGTAGATTCTCAAGAGATGTGACATTTAAATCTCCATTAATTTATTTGACCTTCCTGGGTATTTATTTGAATTCTTTGCAGTTCATTTCAGGCACAGTGTTTTTAATTATGACAAAACTCAACCTGTCAGACATCACATTTTGGTTTTAGTGAGACAGCAAGAATTAAATGTCACCCGCTATTTCAGATTCCTTTAAGGCAAGGTATGACAGGGTAATCTCCCAAAGTAAACAATGCTATTCGCAACAAAACCTGCTGTTTACTCTGCTGTTGTGTTTGGGGTAAGATGCATTCTATTGATGGTATATTTTACCTCCCTGCGTGTCTGAGGATCATCTCCAAGATACAGTGCTACATCAAGAGGCTTAAACAGCATCAGCAAATGGATTAAAATATGACCCGCTAACATTCAACAGCCTAATCTTGTCCTTGCTGGTCCTAGAGTAGGTGGTTTTAGAGAGATTTTAGCTATTTTTCAGATGGTCGGGATTGGAAACACATTAAACAGCCAAGGCTAACAAACCATTTTAGGCTGGTTTAAGCTATTCTCCTTTTGAACAGAGCAGGACACGTGAGATTTCAAATCATTGATTTTTGAGCAAGTTTAATGAGGCATGTGGTGGGAGGTGGTGATGCAGCAAACTGGGCTGTTATCACAGAGATGCAGAACATCGATGACAACACAAGAGCTGGGCGTTTGACACTCTTAAAGGGGTCATATGATGCTTTTTTAAAGATAATTATTTTGTGTATTTGGTGTAACAGAATATGTTGACATGCTTTAATGTTCAAAAAACACATTATTTTTCAAATACTGTACATTATTGCATCAGATCAGGGCAGGGTGAGTGTTTTCTCTTCTATGGTGACAGGCAGACACATATTGAGCAGCAAACACACTCTCTCTCTCTCTCTCTCTCTCGCTCGCGCGCGCACACGCACACACACACACACACACAGGTCGTCCATAAAATGCATTGCTGTTCTGTTCTAAGTCATCTTAAAGATTCCTAAATGCATCTACTTTCGGAAGGCCAAATAAAGTGCTTTTGCTTTCGCCTAGAAACACACAGCGTCTCCCTGACATGGCTGCTTCAACACTAACTGCGGTTACTGAAACCACGCCTTCTTTCTTTGGTGCACATTTGGGCGGCATTATGCAAATATTTCCACATAGTGGCGTAGATATGTGGGGGCGTGTTAGAACGAGCCGTTTTAGGGGGGCGTGGCAGAGTCTTACCTTTGATAAAGAATATCTCTTTGGTTTTGAGACTTTAGTCTTTGCAACTTCAGGGATCTTATCTATTCACGAACAGCTTGTAACACTCCAAAGAGAAATGAAAACTTGAAATCGCATCATATGACCCTTTAAGTAATCCTGGATGAACACGTCTAACGCAGTCATCGACATCAGACCGAGCAGCGTTAAATAAGCAGCCAATGAACGCTTTGTTCCCCGTCAGTATAAAAACCTGTGGTCCCCCGCACCGCTCGCTGAACTGTGAGTGAGCAGCTGACGGTGACGGTGGGGCGCGCGAATGGCTCGGCAGCTTTTACGCGTTGACTGTCATGCATAATTGCTTGTTGACGGATGAAAGCGGCGGCAACACCATGCAAACCTCTTTATTGTCCGCGGCACACTCTCCCGGGATACCTACAGCTGTTTCATTCATGTGGAAATCAGGAAATCCGCAGTCGCCCAACTGGACTGGGCTGGAGAGAGAAAACGCGACGAGTCTCGGCGACTTGGACGCATTTGAGAACCGACGCGCGCAGTATGGCCAGTTTTCTCCATCCACCTCAATATTCATTACTGTGCTTATGACACTGCTGGTGTTCGCCACAGTCCTGGGGAACGCGCTTGTGATTTTAGCTTTTGTGGTTGAGAAAAGTTTACGCACACAAGGCAACTTTTTCTTTTTAAACTTAGCCATCGCGGACTTTCTTGTCGGTGAGTGGCATTGATGACTGTTTGTATTTCAGCTTTGGTATTAAGTGTCCTTTAAGTGCATGTGTGTTTAATGGATTTTCAGGCGGGTTTTGCATCCCCGTGTATATTCCCTATGTCTTGACGGGTGAGTGGAGACTGGGCAGAGGTCTGTGTAAACTGTGGCTGGTGGTGGATTATATGCTGTGCACCGCCTCAGTCTTCAACATCGTGCTCATCAGTTTCGACAGGTTTCAGTCCGTCACTAAAGCGGTGAGTACTGCGCAAAACACACAGACTGTGCTGGTAATACAAATAGACTATACATTCATTCTCTTTGAAAAACGCCCAATTTGTCCAAATCTGTGTTGGAGAATGCCAATCCAAACTAATGAGACTGGACCACCAGTGACCACTGACAGAAACGGCAACAAAATAAAAGAATGTAGCTACGTAGGCTATTATTACCTCAGTTTTTACATAGATTACTGAGCACAGAATAATAGCTCACAGAGATGACAAGTAACACACTGAACCTATATCTCTTTCCAACTTTGTATGAAATTTTCTGACGTGGAACACAAACATTAATATTTCGTGTTTTGCGGAAGAAGAAAAAAAGACAGTACAGCTTTAGAACGATATGAGGGCGACAGCGTTTTCATTTTTGGGTGAAATATTGTCTTAAATGTTTTAAAAGTACAGAGTACAGTATAGAGATAAAATTTTATTGGTCCATTAAAGGCACTTTTATGTGGAAAAACACTGTTTTTGAACAAATCAGATTAACAAGTAAATTATAAATTAGTATAAATATAGCTACATAGACTACAACATTAGAATATTGATGGAAATAAGTAGCATAATGATACATGTTTTAATACTTTTAGAATAAAACATAATGGTATAATAACGTTGAAAATGAGAAACGTCAATTTTGCATGTGGTCTCCACATAAAAAACGAGTATAAACAGTTTCATTCAGGAGTCAGCTGGTCACATTCAGATGAAGAGGAATGTTTTGATACATCATCACATGTACATAATAATTTGGACAGACACAATGAGTGCAGACCTACAAATGCCATGCACACGTTACCATTTAACAATCACCTGTCAACATTTATTTATATCCTATTATGCAGCAGCGCACAAAAGCGTGAATCCCCTTGCTTCTGCCTCAGATATAAATGCAATGTGACGTCCATTTAATCATAAAATGTAATTATTTCAGCTGGCAGCCAGGGAAAAGATGATATATTTTATCTATCTATCTATCTATATGCCTAAATGTAATGCATATTAAATCAATTATAAATCTGTGTTCCAGGTGAGTTACCGTTGTCAGAAGGGCATCACTAGAGAGGCTGTTTTGAAGATGCTCTGCGTGTGGCTGGCAGCGTTCCTTCTTTATGGTCCAGCTATTATCAGCTGGGAACACATCGCAGGAGGAAGCGTAGTGCCAGATGGAGAGTGCTATGCCGAATTTTACTTCAACTGGTATTTTCTGATGACTGCCTCCACTGTCGAGTTCTTCACACCTTTCATAAGCGTCACTTACTTCAACCTCAGCATTTACATCAACATCCGCAACAGATGCGCAGTGAGGGAAGAACAGCCGACTTCTATTCGGCTTAGGAGCTTCAAGATGAGGCCAGTCGGAACCGGAGATGTACAGCGTGTGTTTTTTGTGAGGCCTGTCGAGGAAAGGGAGGTCAACTTGTCCTCAAGGTCACGGTGCTGCCGGTTACCTTCTACCGCAAAGGTGTCTGCTGCAGAGTTTGGTAACGTCAGACAGACTAAACGAAGAGACAGCACAATCGCAGACTTGCCTCCTCTGCAGGTCGGGGACCGGATCCTGACATCCAGTGAGGCACAGTTTCATTACGTGGATCATTCGGCTGGATCACACAGACACCGTCCTGATATGGTTGCCAGTCTAGCCAGCCGCTTTCGCCTGTCTAGAGATAAAAAGGTGGCAAAGTCTCTAGCTGTAATTGTTTGTGTTTTTGGACTCTGTTGGGCACCCTACACACTGCTGATGATCATTCGGGCAGCATGTCACGGTCAGTGCGTCCAGCACTACCTTTATGAGATCTCGTTCTGGCTGCTGTGGATAAACTCATCCATCAATCCAATCCTGTATCCTCTGTGCCACAGCAGCTTCAAAAGAGCCTTCAGCAAATTACTGTGTCCGAGCAAAACAAAAATTCAACCTCAGAATATGGACCAGAAGTATTAAATTTATGAGGATGCCCGCATTTCCAAATAGGGCTTTTCTTTTTGTGCTTGTATCTAGCAGTACATTTTTCTTTGTGCACATGGTGAGTGAGTAGACCGAGATCTTTTATCTACATATTCAAACTCACATTTTTGTAAGAAATGGTGGGATAGCTATATTTCTTCCACATTCAATGATGAATTATTGACCTGTTTCATAAATTATGTATACATGACTGGAAGTGTCTAGCGCAGTGCCATGTTTGCCATTGTAAATATTTTTTTCTTTTTTCAAAATAAACTACTGGTGAAGTGATGATCATAATGACTATTATACCTCTCGAAACCACAGTCTGCAATGAGAACAACTGAGATATCTCAAACCATGCTGTTCGTGATGATTGTATACTGATTCTACATGACCGATGCACAGGGATTGCTGGCGAAGCCTGTAGTTCCCCTAGCAACTGTGGGACAGACTAAATACAGAGAAACAGGACTCATTTCTTATAATCATATCAAGATAACTAATTTATCCTGGATTATTTCAGGGCTTAAAGCAAAGTCTGAACACTTGTCTCTAATCAACGGAAATAAGATGTACAATGCATTAAGATTCTGTTCAAACACAGAGATATAGAACAACAAGAAAGAAAATCAACAGACAAATATACTTGCATGTATAAAATAACCAGTACCAATGTTTCTACCAGCATTCACTTGAAAATTTGGCTTCAATGCATGCTTATTAACAATAAGAATAACAGCTGAAGTCAGCATTAAAATTTCAAATTCAAATCTGTTTTCTAAATGCATGTTATAGATCTTATTGTCAACAATGTACATGTATCAAATTGTAATGTTTAATTAAAATGCCAGGATCATCTAGTGAAACGACAGACTTCTCTCACGTCTCAGACTTCTTTCAACAACTTAAAGATAGCAATTTTTTTTTTCTTTTTTGATAACCCATGTCACAATATGGAAGAAAATACATACTGCTTCTTCTGTTTTCATAGCGAATTTAATGACATTAATTCACACTTCTACAGGCACGTGGGGTTAATATCATTTTTTATTTGTGCAAATGCCATGAAATCAATGATATTTTGTTGTAACTGATTTACAATTAGATTATACATACAATATATGAAGGGAGGGGGAATCATAATTTAAAAAAAAAGGAGACAAGATGCAAGAGAAGGCTTCTGACATTGTTTCGATTCACAGCCACAGCTACTCATTCATTAATAGAGTCTATACACGTGTTCACCCATTCCACATATTAGTCAACACGCTGTCCCACTCCACCAAAGTGTCTGCCATAAAGTAAAAGGGTGAGAAACAAGACTATTCATTAGTTACACAAATGTCTTTAATTCAGCATGGCATTTAAAATATTAATGCTGAAAAAACGAAGTAGAATCAAGTGTAGGTCCTCTAAATGAAGACCATAACAATGCATGTCTCAATAAAGCTCTGCCTTTTTTTTCCTCCAGTTTGGCTGGTGGGGCAAGAAAGTGGTGTAGCAACACTAAAACTTGTTTTTTTTTTCTCTCTCTCTTAAATTTATAGCTTTATTCTTGCTCATTTGTATGGCAACAATAGTATCAAGAGGGAATGGTAGTCTGAAGGAAGAGCAGTGCATACACTGTTCTCTAACGACTGTTCTCACAAGGAAACGCCTCACGAAATGAGAAAGTGGAAGAAGGGAAGAGAGTAAAGCAGGCAGAGGATGAAAAACAACAGACAGAAAGTATGAGAGGAATGGGTAGAGAGACAGGTGGGTTTGGCTTTGTTTTTCCCCTGGCTGGAATACCCTGGTGTGCACATGTGGGCATATACATATATCTCTCTATGCGTGTGTACACAAATATAAATGTAAATGCGTGAGGCTCCTACAGCACCAACCCTTCGTAAGCAGGTCCCTCAGACTCGGGTGACTCTCTCTGCAGACGCAGGTGCTCCAGTGTATTGTGGAAGTGTTTGTTAATCTGCTCCGTCTCCTCGCTGGCCTCAAGGTTCGGGAGATCCTCGCGGATCTTCTGGATCAGCTGATTCAGGACTTGGACCGTCACCTGCAAACACGCACAGGTTGAGCAAATCCAGGCTGATGTGGATTTAAGCAAATTAAAGTGACAGAGAGACAGAAAGTAACTAACAAACAAACAGTGTTCAAGAGTTTGTTTTTTAATAACAAAGTGTGAGATTTTAAATCCCTGTGATTAGTTTATGTTTACTGACTATTATAATCATGTTAATTAGTTTGCACATATATTTCTAAAGCAGTATTTAAAAAAAAAAAAATGTATTTAGTGACGAAAGATCCAAACCGGTTTTTGTTTAGTGTATAATACAAAAATGGCAAGAAATGTCTAAGTTGTCCTCGTGGGCTGATAGAAAAAACCAATATACAATGCAAACACTGTAGTCATATTCTTAAACAAGTTAGTCTTATGAGCTGGTTCTATTTGTATTGAATTAAAACCATGCAGCGAGACCAGTGTAGGATGATTCATGAACAAATGACTCCTAGGACTAAAAACGAAGGTAAGAGGAGTTACTGACTGCATGTTATCATTATTTTCAATCAAAATGACGATGACAATGTGTTGTTAAAGATGCACTACCGTTCAAAAGTTTAGGATCAGTAAGATCGGTTTCAAATAAATGCTGTTCTTTTTAAACGTTCTATTAATCAAAGAATCCTAAACAAAATGCAGCACGGTTTCCACAAATTGTGTAGAAGCACAACCGTTTTCAACCTTGATAATAATACAAAATGTTTCTTTAACACCAAATCAGCACATTAGACTTATTTATGTGACACTAAAATTCAGCTTTCACTCTTAAAAATAAAGGTGCTTAAAAGGTTCTTCACAGCGATGCCATAGATGAACCATTTTTGGTTCCACAAAGAACAATTCAGTCAAAGGTTCTTTAAAGGACCATCTCTTTCTTACCTTTTTATAATCTGAAGAACCTTCTTTCGCCACAAAGAACCTTTTGTGAAACAGAAAGGTTCTTCAGATGTTAAAGGTTCTTTATGGAACATTTAGACAAAAAAGGTTCTTCTATGGCATCGTGAAGCACCTTTATTTTTAAGAGTGTTGCCATCACAAGAATAAATTACATATTAAAATACATTAAAATTGAAAACAGTTATTTTAAAATGTAATAATATTTCACAGTACTACTGCTTTTACTGCATTTTTCTTATTAAATGAGTGAGTGAGCATGAGACTTCTTTTTAAAAACATTACAGAAACCAAACTTTCCTCCAGAAAAGTGAAAGACATAAATTTCCATAGGAAAAGAAGAAATGGAAAATTTGCAGTATAGACAGTTCTGTTGATTATAATAACTGTGCTTATCTTGTTTCTATAAATGTGAGCGGCAGACATGGTGCAAAAACTGTGCCAGGCACAAAAGCACTCACTGAAAGCACTGTGAGCAATTTATCCAGACACGAGGAGACGAGCATCTCAGGTAAATTCACACACCCACACACTCTCACACTCAGAGACACCAGTGTCACATAAACACACAAAAATAACATTGGTGTCAAACTACGGATTTACGGCAAGCATTTGATTTCTGTCACTGTGTTGTACATAACCAAAAAACAATGAACAACATTACAATCATTGAAACATCCCAAACTCTGCTCTCCATTATAACACGTTAATGTCAGGAGAAACACTGACAGGTAATGTGTCAATGAAATGCAGCGTGGGAATTTGTTTTGGTTTTGATTCTCCCATTTATTTCCACGTTTAAAGTGGCCCTTGTCATAGGATGAAGTGCAGCTGTCAAGAGTGACCTCCGTGGCTGCCCTGTGGCCCCGATGTGCTCAGGCAAGTCCTGCCTCAATCTCCCTCAAATTGAACATGGATACAGATGCTTCCTCTCAGATAAATGCAAGTTAGGTATAATCTAGCGCTGCTTGTGACAGACAAAAATGTGGAGCACGGAGAGGGAAAGTGAGAATGAGAGAGACATGAGAACAGAGGAGAGACAGCAAAGAGAACAGGTTAAAGGAGAGCAAGTAATGAGAGGTATAAGAGAGTGGAGAAGAAGAAAGAGTGAAAGCGCATCTCTGGTCATACCGCATCATTCTCTCGCTCATAGAAGCAGATGTATCTGTTGAGGATCTCGATGAAGAGCTGAACTTGCAAGGACGGGTCCATGCACTGGTTCGCGATCTTCAGAGCCTTCTTCAAGCATTCCATCACCCTCCGCCCATCACGGATCTGACAACAGAGGGAAAAAAAACTGATTTCAGTTCTGACTGCAGTGAACAGCCTCAAATTATTCCCTTTTATCTTAGCAAAAGCCACTTAAGCCAGCTCCACTTTTCAGCGTATGGAGTTATGAATTGGATTGGGAAGCTCTGTTGTTAGGGGCAACACATACCTCCCAAGAACATGCTGTGGAGCTGAGAGAAGGAACACGGCATGATCCTATTTCTCCACATGCATTTATTAGTCACAAAAACATTGACTATCGATCCTTACTAAAAGAAAATAAGCACAATTGCCACATCGGGTCCCCTGTATTTAATGCCATTTCAAGGGGAGCTAATGTATTATTATTGATCACCGCAAAGGAGAACGTCAGTTACAATGCGCTATGTACTCTGTAGCAAAAAAATGACATGTTGAAAATATACACATTTGACAATCTGCCCATGTCATGCAGTCATGATATATTCCAAAGGTATCATACAAAAGATGCTTTTAATTTAAACAGTGGACTTGCATAAAAGTGCAAAGAAAGTAGAAATAAATAACTAAAAACACTTACAGATTCAGATTCAATCGACGCGTTTCAGAAAGGCGGCGCATAGAGGAGAAACAATAATGTACAGTATGTGGACAATAATGTGGCTTCTGAACCTTAAACCGCATAAACACATTTCATTACACCAAATACACCAAATAATGTTCTTTTTAGCAGCATCATATGACCCCTTTAATTGTTAATGTTTTACAAAACAAAATATACTCCGTTCTGCATTTAATCACACTCAAAGTGTAATAGAACTTAAATTTAGTCATTGTTTACCATAATTTGCTAAAAAAGATATCAATTCACACAAAGAGATAAACAACTTTTGCTAAACAGAAGCATTACAATTTTGTACACAAACGCAAAAAAAAAAAGACTGTTAAAGATAGGGATGCTCCGATACCATATTTTTGGTACTTGTCGATACCGAGTACCGATACCGGTATTTTCATTGTATTTGTACATTTTTTAAATATTGGGTACAGAAACCGAAAGAATATGTAATGTTAGTTGGTTAACTTTATTTATCAAATAGATATATCCTTCAGTTATTTTCACACTTAAATATGCCCATTAAAATGTTTTAGTTACTTTCACTGTTCATTGTTTTGCTCTATGGTACATCATCTTTAATTTAATTGCATTAGAGCTGCTCCATTGCAGTGGCTCACTAAGTTATAAAGTCAGTTATAAATCTTTCAGAAATATAAGTAGCGTTTTTTCATCTGAAACGTGCTGTGACATGCGCAACGCTCGCACGTATTTGTATTGGTGCAGAATGAGAGGGACAAGTACAGCCTAGTGCATTTCACACTGGCTGATAGTTTAACTTTCGCCATAAAGTCGTGTATGCTTAAGGTTGAAAATAAATGTTGTTTATAGTGAATGCCACTATAAATGTTGTTTTATAATTACGATTTAGTTTTAATCCAAATGATGCGTGTGCTAAGTGAGCGAATGTCAAAGTTCACACAACAGAAGTGCGCGCGCTCTCTCTCTCTCCCTACCGTTAAGTAACTTGCATTGTTTTACTGGTTTTTGACATGCGACCGAACTACAAACTTTCCAGTGATGTCTGTGAGAAAGATATATTCACTCGACAAGC